CTTAAATACTTATGTTAACCAAAGACATTTGCAAACCCTTGCCGTTGGACTATCACATGATGGCAATTACCAATTAACCTTTGCATTTACCATCGTAATGTGTATAATGTGTGTCAAAAGAGCACACCCAATTTTCGTTAGCTTTCCTATGAAAAGTTACGATCCTCTGGCACCGATCATGGAGTCCATGGTCCCACTGACACTTTGAATCTTGACGGTAAAGAGAACAATTTATGCATCGTCATTCAACTATGCAACCAATATTGATATTTCTTCACAATTCGTCTTTGAAATAGTTACTATTAAATTTCAAATATCATATAATGACATTCTCCATCAGGATGGAACAGTTTTGGCCTCGGGCTTATTTATATTCTCTGATAAGGGTTTCTAAATATTTCCAATCGAGTCATATTTTCCGAACATGTTTTGATTATAGGTGAAAAAGTAATACTCGAAACCTTTGGATTGAATATGCTATGTCAATTGCTTCGGGTACAATACACATCTTTTCTTTGTACACATAGCTCCTATAAAATCTAATGTAAAGGACGAACAGGTCATTGCTCTTTGTGCTCTTAAAGGTAATACAAAGTTTTGGGAAATTTTGAAAATTGGGTGGATAGTCATTCTATACAATTTTGATATATTTGGATGCCCCTTTGGATATATTATAAGCACTAGAAAATTTGGCCCCTAAAACACTTCTGCTTTCGAGATAAATTGAATATAAAAAATTACCGGTGCTCCCGGTAAATTTTGATGAATTTCAAAAAGCGCCTACAGCCGTACAAATGGTAGCTGCGACAATGAAAATCTCAGAATATGTATTTGTGATGGGCAAATTGGTTCCATGAACAAACGAGTCGAAGGCCCGTGTTCTACTAAATTTGAACAAGTCGCTGGGCTTGAGCTATTTTTAGGTAGTCTGACTCGGAGGTCTAAGTTTTCCTTCGTTAAAAGTGGTGTTTGACCCAGGGTCGGGTTTTAAGCCCCACTGCACTACTTGTAGCTACTTGCTCCCTCTATAGAGAAAACTTCCCCAATCGGTGTCTGTTGGTCCCCCATGATCCTCTTTTTTATGTTAGTTGAGAGCTGAGTTAATGAGATAGCCATCTGTCAGTGACCTCGCTGTGTGGTCTAATCCTCCTAGCCACACTAGTGTTGATAAGCTTTAAGTGAATTAGTTGAACAGTTTGCAGGCTGTTTAAATTGAGTTCAGGTCTTTAGATGTGCTTTCGAAACATTGGTGTGAAGAAACATTGCTTTGAGGCTCGGTCTAAGCCGCAGACAAATGACATACTGTAACTAAAGTGCATAATTTGACCCATAGGATTTTGATACTCAAGTAACATAGACATATCGAGCATGCATAGTTCTCGTATCAGTTTCTCCATTATCAGCCTAAACGTGGAACAAAGAATGATACCGTTGACCTTGTGAAAAACCAGGCCTTCAGTCATCCATAACAGCAAATATATAAATAAGGTTATCAGTATTGAGATAATATTGGTTTTATTGTACGTATCCTTCATATTTATTGAAGGTCAGAAGGATACTTTGGGCAACTACCAAAGTCTGGTACCCTTCTTGGAACAATATTTTACTGCCTTTAAAGTGACTCGGTAACACTGCCTCCGATTCACAAACAAAATCCTGGATTTAGCTCATGCTGCAATCATAATTATAAACCTTTAGGTCAGTCAGGAATCCCATGACTTTTACAAGCCGATCGCCTGTCTGATTATCACGATATTTATGATTGGAAATCGAAATTTTAAATTTCGTTTTCCTAAGGTTTTTTTTTATAACGCTACAGTCTATTGAGGGAAAAGGAGTATGGTAAAAACCGGTCACTCAAAGATTTTTTATTTTTTTGAGGCACTTCATGATAAACTTGAAGCGCATTTCTTTTAGGGCTTCAGTATTACACCATATCACAGACACTAATAACACGTAGGACCATGCATCTCAGATTTAACATTGTTACACGCTCACGTATCAACGTACGCGGATTGTTGAGCTATATCACTGTAGCCTTCTTTCGATCTCGCTGGTGGTTCCAACATAAATGCAGAATCCATCGAAATATACAAAAGGTTATTGCATCATTGTGCTTAAAAAGGTGAATCGGTTATGACCACCAATTTGTGGTTTTCTAGATTTGTTTGCGATCTTTTGATTAATAGCCTGTACTCATAAAGAGTGCGTTTCACAATGCCTAAATGCACGTGTGCAGAGAGTGGGCTGTGCATGGCCGTGGCGAACACAGAATTCTCTCTCAAGGGGAATGACACAAGCCCGAAAATATCTCTTTCAGTCAAAGAAAAATATTAAAGACTAGGAAGCAATTACATTTTTTAGAGGACTATCTTATACAGAAAAGTATAATTTAGTTGTACAAAATCACTGACAAGCGATGTAAAGTTAGTAAATGAATGAAAGAATTCACATGAACAAATAAATAAATAGAATGATGAATACAAAAGACAGTGGACACGAATTCACTCTGTTTGAAAAAAGAAAAGAAAAGGAGAAACCCAAAATGGATGGCATATAGAGACAGATGAGTGCCCCGTGGTCCAGGATATGCCTATGCGTAAATGTTAGACGCAGTTTATTTGTTTGCTATCATGCTGATAAAGAATGAACATCTTTATTTAAGGAATATTGTATTTACACGACATACTTCTTTGGGTGAAAAGTCCTTTTTATTTTCCGAATATTAATAGGTAACCAGGTGTTCCTAGTTTTATCCGGTTCAAAATATAGAATAGTTCGTCGTCCCGTATTCCACTGGGGCATCGCTAGGCAATTTGGTACGGTATAAAAAGGGGAGGGGGTTTTGTCAGATCGAATTGTTCGACAATTTTGATAGACCTTTTCCCAACGTCAAAAATAAAATGCCCTTACGTTTTGAAATGTGAGGGGAGAACTGATCGTCATATATTGTACGAATAAGAAGTTCCATGTTTTTGCCCCTTGATTTCGTTTGTGCGTGTGTGTGCGTTGTGTGTGTGCGTTGTGTGTGTGCAAGCGGGGGGGGGGGGGGGCTGTCACCCAGTCACCCTCCTCTACCGATACACCGGTTATAACTGACCCGTATGCTGATAACAGGGTTATTGACCTATATTTGTGCAAACTGCCAGAACAAATTAATAAGTATTAAGTATATTATATAGATATATCCTAAATTTGTCTTCGTATTGTGCTGGTTGTTAGCTAAATTTTTCAAAAAGACAATGGTACGTCACTTCATTGATTCAGAAACCATGGTCTTAAGTGATGCAAGCTTGTAAATCATTGCATAAGAGCGTAAAGTAGTTAATAGGAAATATTGGTCTATACAAAATTGAACGATTTATTAAAATCATAATTCAAATACCTAGAATCTATTCGTGCGAATATATTTATCAACCTGGGCTAAACACTTGAAAATTATAACATTGTCATGAAATAATCTTGTGTTGATGAAAAGTTTCGCAGAAAGTATACCGTGGAACACTCACGTCCTACATTTCACCACGGCTGGAGAAGTAACGTCAAACAATTTCCATTTCAACGACACCGAACATGATATTCTATAAAAGAGCAACGACATTCAATATAATGTAGCAAGAGCCGGAACGATTTGGAACAAGGTATCTTCTAGAAGTAGGGAACTTCCAAAAGGTCATTTACCTAGGAATCTGCTTCGGAAGCCTCTGAATAGGCTTAAGGGAGTAATCATTTTTTGTTTTTTGTTGAAAATGCGAACAGTCGTTATTTTAGGTATCAACCGATAACCGTTGACAGCTGGTCACACCAGCAGTCCCTCTAAGGAGGGTCTTAAATAGGCCAATCAGACTGGTTTGCAGCAATCCAGATCGTGGTATGTGTTATTAACTTATTAAGAAAGTAATAACATATTTCTTACACGTGCAACTTATGACATTTGTGGAGCAAACAATTAAAGTCAAGGAAATGTACACTTAAATCGGAGAAAGGCGAAGTGCATGACTTAAAGCTTATCTGCCGTAGTTTACAGGAGGGATTAGACCGCCCTACAAGGTCACTGGACAGGTGGTTATCTCGTCAACTCAGCTCTCGGTTAACATTAGAAAAAGAGGATCATGGGGGACCAATGGTCACCGATTAGGCATTGTTTGTTATATAGAGGGCGCAAGTAGCTACCAGTAGTACAGTGGGCCTTTAAAAGATTGGAGCTATTTCTGAAACCAATCATGACCCTATAGAGAAAAGGAATGCAATAAACATGGAAACAGCACCAGGTACTGAACTTTAAGGTAAACAGATGATTCCAGATGCACTTTGCAAATCCAGTCCGGGTCGTAGATACAGTCAGTTTACGGAGAATTTTACTCGTCTGGGTTGGAAGTCACAATCACCAGTATCATATTTTGCAAACATATAAGCTTGTTTTGTGTTGCCTGATAATAAAAAACCCAGAATTGACGAACTCTTTCATTAGGTCTGTCCTCATCAGCTCGAGATTGCCAAATAACCCGCTATTTTAACTATCCCGATTGCAAATTATCCAGCTAATTTGGAGACTGCGTTAAAACAACATTGCCGCTATTCGAAGATATTATACAACGTCTTTAACAATTAAGCCAGTGGCGGTTGAGAGAATGGTTAAGGTACATGTAGCAACCACAATTATTGTATTCACTTGGGGTTCGACAGCAGTTATAGCTGCAGCAGCTTAACTATCGTAGTACTGGTGACTTTGGTGAGGGTGGTATTATAGAGGTATTAATAGCAGTGGTATTATAGAGGTATTAATAGCAGTGGTAATAGCGGTAGTTGTATTAGTAGTAGTAGTAGTAGTAGTAGTAGTAGTAGTAGTAGTAGTAGTAACGTAAATGGTCGTGGTAGTTGTAGTAGCAGCAGCAGTAGTGGAAGTAGTATAATAACTACTACTCATATTAGTTTTAGTAGCAGTAGTAGTAGTCGTCGTCGTCGTCGTCTTTGTAGTAGTAGTAGTAATAGCCGTAGTAAGTAGTAGTAGTAAGTAGTAGTAGTAGGCGAAGGAATAAGAGTAGTTTAGCAATAGTGTATAAGTAGCATTAGCATTAGTTACAGTGGTAGTAGTTTTAATACTTGTATAATATCAGTATTGGTGGTAGCAATAACGGTAGTAATTTCAGTAGAAGTAATACTAGCATAGTAGTAGTAACAGTATAGCAGCAGTATTAGAAGTAGTAGTAGATACCGTAGTAGTGGGAGTAGTAGAAGTGGTAATTACTACGGCGTCAGTTGTAGCAGCAGCAGCAGAAGTATTCCGCATTGATAATTGTGGCAGCGTTGATTGGGTGGTAGCAAAAGGGTGGTAGCAAAAGGGATGTAGCAAGTACATGGAAAACATCGGTCTCGTTTGTGGTCGGTCTACTGGCTTTTCCCACTCTGCATCTACAGAGTGGCGTGGTGAGTGCCCCACACAGTAACAGATAATGCAATAGAAAGATATCGCGGCCAATTCAGATCATTTTATATTCATGAAATTGAGAGGCCCTTTTGTAACTTGGTCAATGTCCAACATTTTGTTGCACACAAATCTAAAGACTAAAAATAAAACATCAGAACATAGCTTCATAGGTCTACCCCTTAACATGCCAAGGTTCACTAGTCTTGCAGTTTTATAGACAAAATACAAACTTTTCTTAACATACATTAAACATTGATTAAATCAAGTTTGCATCAATGTTTATATCTTAGTTCTATGATCCAGCATAAATTGTGGATTACTTAGATTAATTAAATTAAAATTACCTAATAATTTTGTACACCTAAACTTTTGTTTAAATATAAATAAATAGCTGATGGCAATATACTATGAATAAGTTAGTAAACGCACATTGCATTTACGAATAGTTCGCTGAAAAGGGTTGTGTCATGAGCAGCCGCAGCTATCAATCACCATATCTGGTAACGCGTACAGCCTCGGTTCCGTTTTATTAAAATCCAATTGATGGAGGTACAATACTGGAAGGGGACCCAGTTTCGAAGGCGTGCAACATGGCCGTGGCAAGGATCTTTGGGACTCTAACCGTATCACGGTACGGATGAGGGCGTTTGTGTCCGCCAAATTGTAAAAGTCTGTGCATGCTCCGGCACAGAAATGCGCGTTGTATTCCAACGGCGCCAGTATCCAGTTAAACCTAAGTTCCCTGAAGGATATCGTCAGGTTGCGTCTCCTGCAGCACTCGTCGCTCTGCTGGTACTGACCACACTTCGGTTGCGCATCGTCTAGCTCGCTCTGCCGATGAGACCGGCGTCGTCGCCGGAGTGTTGCCTCTCGTCCTTCCCGTATGATGATGTCGACGCGTGGTCGCAGGTCCTCGTGGTTCGTTCGATGAGCTGGAACACGACCACTCGAATATCCGCTTACAAAAAGATGAGTCGTGAGAACCAAATCACATTCCAATTCTAATCCATGGTTCGTCGTCGGGTCCGACACCCACATCGCAACGGCCTCGCTGATCGTAAACGAAACCCAGTTCGAATCCGTGAGCGAGACTTCCTTGCTGGTAACAAACCTCCGAGGCGTGCGGACGCCTGTCCTGGTAGGTGCAAGAAGCTGGTATATGCGGACAACAGTCGTGGTCTCCTCGCCAGTTATACCGGGTGGCGTAACGAAAAGATGCAATGTTGCGTTGTGAACAGTTCGAGGTTTGTCTTGTGGAAACTGGACAGGCAGAAAGATACGGAGTTTTCGCGGGGAAAACCAGTCCCAAAAGGTTATGTTGCTCGGAGGACCATCTGGAAAAAAAAAAGGATGACAAAAATTAATATCGATTATTACAGATAACAGGAGTACAAAAAAATAGTCTAAAATGCAGGCCCGTAGCCAGAGTTTGATGTTTGGGGGGGGGGGGGGGGGGGGGGGCACATACATGTAATCGATCGACGTCCTGAGGAGGGGTTTAAAAAAGTTCAACCGATCTTGGAAATTGTGTTGGGGGCACCTGCCCCCCGTGCCCCCCCCCCCCCCCCCCCCCCGTGGCTACGTGCCTGCTGAAATGACAGCGTAACTTCAAGATGGACTTTTAAGAAATTTTCAGGTTCCAGCAAGTTTCACTTCTTTATGCAAATGGCACACACAACATACATTTCGTAGGCATGAAATAGCTATTACCCTCTGTGAAATCACAATGAGTGTGCAAAATGTTTCGCATGTACACACAGAGTTCGGCCAAATTGGTATCAGTTGGTCACAACATGGCGTATATCAAAGCAATATCGGTCATAATTGTGCCCAAATCGAACCGGTTTTGCCAAACTCTCCTTGTCCATGGCTCTGGCGTGCTTCATTAATCTGGGCCCTGTCTTATAAAGAGTTACGATCGAAGTCCTCCAATCAATTGCAAGTTTGCACTCTCCTTATCTCTTATGTACAAAGTTGCGATTGATATCGATCGCAAATAAGTTGCGATTTAAACATCAACTCTTTATAAGACGGAGCACTTTCAAGTAGCGCTAGAGATTTAACCAGCGTTGAACTATTCTTAGCAGAGTTCTTGGAAACGATACGAACTAGAAGACGAAATACGAAGAAGAAGGAGAAGAACAAGAACAAGATGAAGAAGAAGAAGAAGAAGAAGAAGAAGAAGAAGAAGAGGAAGAAAAAAAGAGGTCTGAAAACTGAAGTGTTTCAACTTTCAAACTAGAGGATTTGAATTCCTGAGCGATTGGATTGGGAAAACGAATGCGTAGATTTGGATGACCTAGCCACCGTGGTGTGTTGCAGTTACGTGATAGTGGAGAACGATAGTTATACCCACGAACATGCTCTACAAAAGTTGTGTATGTTAACGTGACATTTTGGGTTATCGGATTTCGCAATAATAATGGTGATCCCTGCATAGCTACATATTATTACATGTTTGTTTTGTTATGTTTTCTATTCTTTTCTTCGTTCCATTCCTTTTCTTACTGTACTGTAAGTCGAGAGGTAAAAATTCAAAAATTCAACAAAAAAAAAATCATTCCACTTCAAATGCTTAAAAGGTTATAGGCGTTTTTCAGTTAATTTGCGATGATATCCAGCTTTTGTATCAGTCTTTTAATTCAAACGACTACAGCTTGTACATGTTGACACCGAGGTAGACTTTTAGACTTGTAAATGAAAACTAATCGGATAAATGGGATGGAAAACCTCATTCCTGGAATAATCCTTTACATGTCACTATGATAATCAGCCAAAATGGGATTAAAATGAACGGGGAGGCTTGCAAATCATACCATGTAACCTATACGCGAAGTTATAATTATCTTTAAAGATAAAATTGAGTTCTGATCATGCAATTGCATTGTGAAAGTTATGTTGTGAGATCGATCAAAAAAATTGACCTAGGGTAGCATATAAGTATTGGTCTGCAATGTTCTGGAATCATCAAAATGATAAGAAATTTAGCCAAGTCTTGTTAAAGTTACAAGAACTGTGCACAGAAAGATGTATATGGGACTACACAAACAGGCGGCATACAAATTATCGAAGCCCATATTTTTAAGCTGATACTTGTCATATTAGGAATATGAGGGCATTTGAAATCCATGCTTTTCAGGGAACATTTTTCTTACTGATGTTCTTCCACACTTGCATAACAATGCAAACGCTCATAATTTTTTTTCCACCTTTCCCCAGAAATCAACCTTCTCTTTAAAGCAACTAGAAAAGGCAACAAGAAAACGTTTAAGCAGTAACCCAGTCTTTAAACTCTGATCCCGGGTTAAAGATAGCAGTCTAAATAAATCAATAAGATCTCCTAAGAATGACAATCAAAACACCTTCACTCGAACAAACGTGCTCAGCACTGACGTCATACTCCAAGTGCCCATTGTCGTCAAAACAAAGGCACCTTCGCTACCAGGAGAGCTTACAAACACTTATCTTAACAGATATTGACACCTTTTTACTTGTCAGTTTTATTGAGTCGCCTGTAAGACAATATGATTATCAACAAGATGGGTAGAGGTCTTTTCATACAAAGTAAAATAAATAGCATTAAATTGCCTCCTTATAGTTGGTATGCAGCCATGGTCTATTCAAATCGATTGTTTTATTGAGGTGTAGCTATTTTTGTACACATTATAATTGTGGAAAAGTTTGGTCCCTGTTTTCATAGAGTCAGCAAATTTTCTTTCCAACTTTCAAACAAAGTAGATTTCAATAGAGGGATAGTGGATACCTTGAAAAAAACATAGGTGAAGAAATTAGTTCATTAAGTGCATTACATTTTGAGAGTTAAAGTTTCATAGAAAGGCAATTAAACTGTACATTTGCGCGATATATCATTATTAAGTCTGCTCAAAGAAAAAATAACGGATTTGATGATCTTTTAAATGTGGAAGTTCTCTATTTAGTGTCGGCGTATCATACCAAGGATTGGGTCGGCATTGGCCTGCATTCCTGTCCTTTATGGACTCCCACCCGATTCCCAACTGGACCCACCCCGTTGACGATTTTTGTTGGCTAAAAATCAGCCACACCTATTATTGATTTTTTATTTCTATTCTAATTATTTTAGTTGACTGATAATATAAATAATCCAAATGTCAATATTGGCACTAAAGGTGATAGGCGAAATTCATTAAAAAGCATCTAATACACGCTTTTCTAAGGCTTCAATCTTAACTTTATCTTGAGATAAATCAAGCAAGCATTTGCTAGCAATCAACATCGTCAACAGTTTGCTTTTGTGCTAACAATTGCTTCCACGGAGTATAGCAATAGCTTATATCTTATTCAGAAAATCATCCGATTTAAACTAGCTTTTATGAAATAATATATAGAATTATATTTTAACAATAAGATGTTAAAATTGTATTCGTATTTGTATTTCAATTTCTTGATTCTCTCTGTCTACATACTGTGATTGTACACTTGTACATTGAAACTCTTCTCTTTATCTGTAAAACTATTGCAATTCAGCTGCGATGATAATTGAATTAATCTTGAGAGAAAAAAAGTAGTTATCAATGTCGCCAAAAGTTTCCTCTTATCACGTCCCTACGGAGGGTGGCAACGTGAACACAGACGTATGCATTCTGATATTTATGGTTTCACCTGGGTTGTGTAAATCATTTCCCAAAATAGCTCGTCTGTCACGTCATTGCAACTAGAGCCTTTCAAAATCTCGCCATTCATCCCGTTCGAAAGTGCTAAATGACAATCAATGACGATTTATTTTTGGTTGGTGAAAGGTGGATCGATTGGTTTATCTACGCCTGTTTTAACAATAGGTAATTTTCTTCAGTAGTAGCTGGTCGAGCCGACTAATTTCCATTGATAAGTTTATTTTCAGTCCCTATACTTCAGTTGTCAATACATAGAGTCATTTCTAAATATTTTGCAATGTTTTATCTATTTCTTCTCTCGTCATTACAATTAGCAACCCCCCACTCCTCCTTGTTTGCAATGTTTGCCTGTATAAGCTAGAATTTCATATTTCAAAACATTTGGAGTGAGCCCTAAATTATTAAGACAGTATTTTTACCGTTTGATATAAGAACTTTCAAAACAAAATAGCTGGCTTTGCATGGATAATATTAAAATGAAATTGTAAACGTTAGAATGAAATATATATACAGCGTTTGTAGATTTATGACGTGTTCTTAATAGGAAGCTTCCGAGATGTTACATCAAATACGGGATTTGCTTACGTCGATACAAAAAATAAACCGAACTTTGAACAGAACCCATCCTTTAACAAACTGAAGAATTAGAAAGACAATTCGCAAAATGCCCTTTTGTCCGTTTTAGAGTAAATAAATGGTTGAGTCACCTGACACGCTGACAAGTGCACTTGAACTTGAATCTAACATGCCCAAACCCCCTGGATTAGAGTCTTGCCTGGTCAAATTTTAATTAATCACAAATCAGAACTTGGGGAACCCTTAGACCCATTAGTCAGCCTGTTCAAAACTCGTTATAACCTGCAATTAATGCTTAAAGATAAAGTTGAGTTCTTGTCATGCGATGGCATTGAGAAAGAAATGGTGTGGAATCGATCAGAAAAAGTTGATCATGTAGCAAAGAAATATTGGTGTGTACTCCAAGGTTCTAGAGTCATCAAAATGATAAGAAAGTAGGCCAGGTCTTGGTAAGGTACATGTAACAAGCGCTGTACACATACACATGTACCTACGCAAACAAGTGGCCTAAATTTCGGGCTTCATTTTTAAGCTGTTACTTGTTATATTTAAAATATTAACGCATTTGATAAGCCATGCTTTTCAGGGAACATTTTTTCTCTAATGTTCTTCCACACTTGCTCACAAATTATTCATCAGCTCTACCCAAAACTCAACCTTCTCTTAAAATTGGTATAAATTCCTATATTTTGTTTAAGATGTAGCGCGCAAAATGTGAAGACGATGAAATATTTCAAGCATCAGCAACTTAAAAGAGTTTAAGGTCCGAAATCTAAATTGGTGTATCAACATACATGATAGGTTTATAGATAGATGCTAGTATACATTTTGATTTTTTAAAATTATTTTTGTAATTACCCTGCATTCATCGTCTGGACAAACCGATGGACAATTAAAAGATGACCTATCATACGAATGGCAAATGCCACATCTGATGACACTGTTTATTGTTAATTATAATGTAAAGTACTTTCCATTTTTATATTTACCATAGCACCTTTAATAAGTATTTTCTTTCTCTAAGAATGATAATGGGGGCAAGCAATAAGATAAATGTTGAGGGGGGGGGGGTGTGCAGGCAGGCTGCATTCGAATTATATACAAACTAATTTGATTTTTGAGTTGATTTTAGTTCTTTCCGTTTCAATATAAGCATGTGCAGGATACATGTACTTGGTAGATTGAATAATTTACTTAAACAAATATAATTAATTTGTATGAGACAAAACTGAAATAATAAAAAAAAAACGGAAAATGATAACGGAACATCGGTGACCTACGAAATGTGTTCATTGAAATCAAGGGCCAGGGGCTTGCTTTAAAACAAATATGCTTGTATGGTGCATGCCACAAACTGTTGGTATATACACTCAACTTAGTTTAGGTCATATCAAAATTATTATCATGCACAGCTAATGATGATTATAACAATACTGCATATGTACATATTTGAAATTGACATACAACTGAAGACAGGGTTTTATCAAGTAAAGATTCATGAAGTAACAAGCTTTAAAATGCAAGGGCCTGAAAAAATTGTGTATACTTCCTTAATACTGTTGATATCTTTGTTATGAAATAAAACGTGCAAACATGTTACGTTTATATATAGATGTAAGACAAATGATCCTTTGTTTACTCGACGATTGCGACGTATTTTCAATGAAATTTAAAACAACTTGAACAAGGGACTGGATTGCCAGGTCTATAAGATGCATATTTGAGGTCTGATTTTTTACCAAGTTTAGTCAATGTATTGTTTATGACATGAAGAATGCGATGCATATCTATATTTATATTTTAATTTTTCTAATGTTCACCTTATAATATTCATATTTGTCTTGCAATGTATCTTTGTATTTTATCAGCTTGTACATAAATGTTTTCCCTCTCTGTCCAACTGTCCCCTTTCTTCCCCCCTCTCTCTCTCTCTCTCTTTCTCTTTCTCTCTCTCTTTCTCTCTCTTTCTTTCTCTCTCTCCTGCTTTCCTATCTCTCTTTTTTTTTTAACTCAAATTTTTAAATTGAAATATTGTATAAGATTAATGGTATATAGTATATACACGCTCTCCATAATTATGTACATTGTAGTGTGACATCTTGAAATGTATACTTGCTTTTTTCCAGCAATTTACTCATGTGCAATTCAGTTACTTTTTACTTTCTATATGCTCCATTCTAATCAATCTTTTTTTTCTTTGACACTCTAGTCTTTAACAATACATGTTGGAATGCTTCACCAGGTTTCAGTCTGTGAAAGATTAGGCTTTTTAACATTAAAAAAATATTTTAGTTTTATGTCTATACACAAATATACAAGCTAATTCTTCTGAAGGGCTGTACATGTATATGGTTCCAAATGAAAGATATAATACACTACCCCCTTCCCCTATCTCAAAATTTCTTTTGAAAAAGATATGGGATTTTGGAAGTTTGTAGGCAAGTCACGAATGTCTATGGGCACTTTTATATTTACTTGTTTCATTTATTTATATATTTTTTATTTTATCCATATTTTATTTTGAGATTATCCATCTGAATACCAGTTTTCAGTTTACTTGTTAATGATTGATTCGAATCGTTTGGCGAATTGATCACCCCACCCTCATTAAAATTGTCTGGTTGGTGACATCCCTAAATAGAAAGCATATTACAAAGCTGAAAATTAGCAATGAATGTAATGTTCCTACCTGTACTTCTAAAGCTGTGTACCTCGTCTCGATATGCCGACGAATGGTGCTCGTCTGTCGATTGACTTGCCGCTGAGTTGGACTCTTGTACCGACTGATAGTAAAGACGATACATTTCTTGCATGCGTTCCTCTGAAATGTTAGCATTGGCGACTTCCTCAGGAGTCGGAGGCCTCACCATGTGAAGCTTCTTAAGGATCTCGTCTCGCACCAAATTGATTTGTTCTTCCCGTAGTAATGCTTGATCGGGGCCGTTGGTAGCGGGCTCGCCGACATTCTCCCCCGCCACGCTGTTGGCTGCTGGTGGCGAAAGGACCGTCGTTGACAGCAGCGCCGTCGACGACGAATACGACACCGATGACGATGTCGAGGCTGATGGGGGTAAAACGGACATCGATGATAAGGGATTTCTCCTTGATGTGGGTCCCGCGTCTTGCCGACGGGTGCCGCTGCTGCAACCGATGCATGAAGATGTGATGTCACGGGGAGCTGCCCCGATACGCGGTAGGGTAACAACGGCAAGAAACACCACAATGCTCCCTCCTAATCGTGAACAAGTGCGTCGAGTCATCTGGTATTGTCAGGGCACCCCAAGCTGTGCAAATAGACAATTATGATGATGAGTACTTTGGAATTCTGTTCACCACGTGGAAACGTCTTTCAGCACACCTTTTCCGCCACTTATACGTTTAAAAAGTGCTTCTGGTTGCCGATATCAATTACAAGTAGCGTTATTTGAATAATATGTAGACTTTGAATACTTTGAATTCAGTACGCAGGTGGAGGGAACGCTAAAACTTGACAACGCTGAATCATGCCGTTTTAGATACTGCCGCGTCCAATGCACGGCAAATGATATTTATTGACTCTAATACGTGGGTGTTGCGAAATGATGGTCAATAACCTTCTTGCCTCCTTTATTACACCAGTAGTTAGATCATCGGACAAGAGCGTTCCCTCTTTCGTCAATCCCTTCCCTTCATGTGAAGCGGTGAACGTTGGCATTTTTATGAAAACAGTTGCATTTTTAACTGCCTGACGAATCTAAAATATAATTCCCATTAAAACACATTCGTGTATCGGTCACTACCGTCACTTGGTCATTTATTAGTTTGTTTTGTTCTCGAGATTTTCTTTAACACCGCCATAGACATGGCATAAAGATTATTGCAACATGCAAGGACACGTAAGGAGACGAAATCAAATATTAATGAAATTTCCTTTCTCCCTTTCTCTCCCCCTCTCTCTCTCTCTCTCTCTCTCTTGCTCTTTCACTCTCTCCTTTCAATCCCCTCTACCTTGCTCAACTCTACTTAGCTAACAATAGATGTTACTCATACTTTGGTAATTGGGACATTATGTGACCAAACATATTACATCCTGAAGAGCTGTATTTATTATGTAGGAGGGTACTGTCTAAATAATACAGTTCATAAATCAAAGCAATTTAAATTTATTTATCATTTTCTAGTTATTACTGTGTTTAGTATTTATAGCTTTTTTAATTTCTTTTATTCTTTATCATAAACTTTATTATTATTATTATCATCAGTATTATTACTGCCATTATTATTTCTACTCATATCGTCATCATCATCTTCAAGTCAAAAGTAGATTATACTAGCACATGAAATAGAAGAAGAAAAAAAGAAGTTCATATCTATTAATCAGGTAAGGACATTATTTAATTTATGATTCAATGTTGGTGAAATGACATAACATTTTCATTCACGTTATATCGCTGTCACATAAAATGAAAATATTTTTCTAGACCATAAATAGCCCATCTACAGCATTGGATTGGTAAAATTCTAAAGAAAAAAGATGAATAAATAAAATATAAAAATATATATAAATTAATGAATAAATGAGTGAGTTTATACGTATATGTAAATTCATTAATTTAATAGATTAATGGAATGAAAGAGGATAAAGTAACGAATATGTGTATATACATTGAAGATATAAAAGCATAAAACCCGTCATTCACATTATCAAACTTACCATATCACCCAAGCATCCACTGTTCCACGTGGACCTTCTTTTCATTTTTCTCTCTTTACCCACTTTTTTGTGGTATAAAAAAGGAATGTGTTAAACTAATCCCAAGTGAGATTGAATGATGATCACCATCCTCTTCGTAAGTGAATGAATGAGTTAAACTCGTTAAATGAGTTGAACTCGAGGTTAACCGATCCATTTCTTGGAATTTGCTGATGTCATCATCATCATCAGATCACGTCACGCTATAGAAGGGCGAGGGAGCAGTTTGACTTTCAAGGCAGACATTTGACTCCTACCCCCACCCCTCCCCCCCCAAAAAAAAAAAAATAATAATAATATATATTTATAGAGCGCAGAAACTATCCAACATTAAGTATATATTCTACTGCGCTACAAGAAATATATATAAAATAATAATAATAATAACAAACATAAATGAGCATAATTGCTACAACAGTTGTTAGTCGATGATTTAAAAAAGCACGATATAAAAATACTTTCGTCGGGAAGCTACGTGGCTAGGAGCTCATTATAGATCTCGAGAACGCCAGAGAAACCCTTATGGTTTCAAACATAACTATGCGACAAATAGACTAGATATTTCGGTCGCATATTGCTCAAACATAAATATGTAAAGAAAACACTATTCGTGTTTTGGTAACAACTTGAAACAAGCAAAACCCCTCGGTCGAGTTAATTTTAAAACAAAATACTGTGAGTCTGCGACGAACATGAAGGGCAAGGTCTGCATACGTCATTGCTGTTTTCTTACGCCGGCTTTCGCCTGCAAATGCTAATTAAAGATACGGGCTACCATCTGGAGATGACCTGCAGAACATAATGTGTGTATCATCGAATTAGTGCTCGACGAATTATAAATAATTTTTGATAAAAACATTAAGAAGTAAGTGACCACAATTTTTTACTTTGTTTTGAATGTTGTTTAAAGCTTATCTGCCATAGTTTACAGGACGGATTAGACCGCCCTACAAGGTCACTGGACAGGTGGTTTTCTCATCAACTCAGCTCTCAGTTAACATAAGAAAAAGAGGATCATGGGGGACCAATGGTCACCGATTAGGCATTGTTTGTTGTATAGAGGGCGCAAGTAGCTACAAGTAGTGCAGTGGGCCTTTAAGAAACAAAACACGGATCATTAAATTTAGATAAAAAGAAGCAATGAGCCTATTGAACAGAATAATGCAAAATCGTCATTGTTTGTGTTTGATTATTATTTCATCGCTCTTTACTTCTACCCATATGATTGTTGTTAAATGAAATGAAATTAATCAAATCAAATTAACTATTTCAAGAACTTATACATAGAAAGGAAATGATTGAAATTGTTTAGAATACTATTGCACTCAACTATTGGGATATCTTTTATTCAAAACAACTTTTAAAATACAGTAAGTAATAATGAATTTAATAAGAGAGAGTAATCCGCAAGACAAAAACAAAAATAGAAATACAAAATAACAAGCTGACAATTTTTCTATCCGACACGCTGTCGGCGATTTTTTTTCTTCATCCTGTCGCGATTATTCCCATCTATCTAGGAATTCTATTCCGAGGCGCATTAATTATCACCCTAGCTTTAGCCTAGCTGCCATTACAGCACTCCAGCATTTCAAAGAATTAATTCCTGCCAGGTACCCATTTACCTCACCTTGTCAAAAGACATCCTGTCTAGACGCAACTAAATCTATCCACTATTATCTGACGTTAGGACTGCGTCAATGATTGAGGTGGGCTTCGACGCACTATGTAAGAAAGGTGAAATTAATAGTGGAGACATTGCGTTGAATTAATGGCGCAAGCGGTTCGTAACATATCGTGACGTCAGACAGGGGCGCCATAACTTTGGCATTTGTACAACCACCCGTGCCTTGAATCCGGTTTCCATTTTCTTCGAGACGGCCCTGGGAGGACCCCACTGATAAGCAAGTTTATAAAGATCAGACAGTGGAGTGGTGTAACAACATGTTTGTTTAGTGTACGGCGACTCGTTATCGTTGGTTATCTTTCACATTCGTTGCCGGTCTAGGTATATGTTGGTCTGGTTGCCTGTTGGTCTCGTTGGATGTCACTCTTAATTTCTGTCACTCTTAAGGTCTGTCGGTCTCGTTAGCTGTCAATTTCGTTATAATTAAGTCTGTCGAGTTGTCAGTCTGTGTAGTAAGCTGTCACTCCCGTATATTGGTCCCGTTGATCGTAGGACTTATTGGTTGTCGGTCTAGTTGTCTGTTGGTCTCGTTGTCTGTTGGTTGCGTCGGCGGTCACTCTCGATATTAGTCAGACTAGTTGGCTGTTGGTCTCCTTAGCTGTCGACCTCTTTAGCTGTCACTCTTGTTGCCTGTCTGTGCTGTAAGCTGTCACCCCTGTTGTATATTGGTCTCGTTGATTGTATGACGTGTTGGTTGTCGGTCTAGTTATCTGTTGGTCGGGCGGTTTTAGGTCTTGATTTGTAGCTGTCCATCTCTTTAGCTGTCACTTTTGTTGTCTGTCCGTGCAGTTAGCTGTCCATCTCTTTAGCTTTCGGTCTTGTTGGCTGTCAGTCTCGTTATCCGTCGGTCTTGTTGCCTATTGGACTCGTTGGTTGTCCGGTCTCGTTATCTGTCGGTCTCGTTAGCTGTCGATCTCTTGAGCTGTCGGTCTCATTATCTGTCGGTCTCGTTATCTGTCGGTCTCGTTAACTGTCGGTGTCATTGTCTGTTGATCTCGTTGTCTGCCGGACTACTGGGATGTTCAGGGCAACGATGTAGGATGCCATAGTATACGAATATTTTGTTGAAATACGATAGAATGAAGTTTCTTTCATGATTTCGCGAATGCCTCGTTCAGATTTGACAGGGCGAAACCGCGGCGGGTATGTTTTAATATTATTTTATTAGTATTTCTTTTATAAGATGACGTAAAGTGTAAATTATATGCGGCACAATGTGCTGGTCATAATAACACTGAACGAGCCTTAACCCTTTTATCAATCATTGCTGTTTTACTTAATATTTTAGAGCATGCGACATAAAAAGCCTTTGTTTTTTCGTGAGCGGATATAACATTAAACGGACGTAGACATATAGTGATGGAAATATGTAGTGAAATCGACCGCCTTCCCCTCATAATTATGGGAGTAAAGACTGAATTCCCAATATATTCTTCATTTAATACTTCATTTCTGGAAGTGAAACAAAATCAATCCAACTTTGTTTCAATGGTAGAAAAACCCTGACAAGACACAGGTCCTATACTTCTAAAGACATATTTTGATTGAGATACCTTTGTCAGAAAGAAAAAAAAATTGCCCTCGATTTAAACGTCATTTTCTGTACAAATAAAACACTCTTAGTTGGAAATGTCATTATCCTAAAGGTACAATCCAAAATTAGTTCAGTCATATGTTACGAACAACTCCCATGATAGGTGCCCATGCCACAGTGACCTTAAACTGTTTAAACCATGCAAATGTGAACGGTGATCGGCGGTACAAAAGTTGCTTTGCGACACTCACTCTGTCATTGATTAAAGATAATCTTGAGTTCTGGGCCCCGTTTTATAAAGACCGCAACTTATTTGAGATTGATACAACTGTATCTAACGCAGATATGTGATAGGAGACTGCAAACTTGCGATTGGTCGGAGGACTTGCGAAGGATTCGGATCAATCGCAACTCTTTATAAGACGAGACCCTGGTAAAGATTAAACAATGATTTATGAGCTTTCTCGCTCTCTATAAATATTGTTTTATAATAATATCATAGTTAAAAAGGTTCCCTTTATAAAGCCATTGCTCTTCAAATGCCCCTAAATGTATTAAGTTAAGATAAAATTAAGTTCTAGGCCATTCTCTGCAAACGTCATTCCGTATCAAACGCTTGGAATGAATTTTTCATGATTATCCTTATTACAATTGATAAATTCTGTGTCTGTTTACATGATTTAACAACGAAATTTAAAAGTACTACTTTTCGTAAATAATTATCCAATATTAAGTCCACGTATTGTACGATGCAAAATATGATGAAGAAGAGAACATTGATGCTTGAAATCCAACAGTTTTATTATATTCGACGTACCCTACGTCTTTATGAAGTGCGTGATTAAGACGAAAACAAATTAATATATCGTTTCCAAGGCAACGCGCAAATAGTCA